AGCGGGAGTGTGGGAAAACACTTATTTACAGCTGGCTTGTAATCTTGTAAATCTGTATATTATAATATTTGCTATCTCTAGAATAAGTATTCTGTACTCCCTAAAATTAAGGAAGATTTAGTTTCCTAGTTTAACCCCTAGTTAAGTTGTATATAAACCTAAGATTCTTGTATACCATTCGAAAATAAGCTGTTTTTTCAATACTACCAACTCCAGTTTCCACAATAAAGACTGTATCGTTATTCGGGTACTCTCCTACTCAAAAAGAAGTATAAGTGCTAATTGTACATCCACGGAACAACATTTGTCTCATTAAATGTCCCATTCTTTGGAAAATCACACCGCTTTTACCCAAAACTAACTCTCAAGGGGAGAAAGTAGGTGGAAGATAGGCTTTGGGATTTTATCCATTCCACTTTCTATATGCATTCTACTATTCCTTTGGGTGCCACCCAACCAAAAGCTAAGTTGAAAACAGGGATATAGATTCATTTATACTTAGTCTTCAACAAAAAAACAGACTCTTAGTTTATTCACAATGTAAACCATAGCCTCAAAAAGTACAAACTTTTGTGCCCTAGACACATTGTCAAGAATCTAATCCACAAGTAAATTTTGAATCAAAAAATACTAAGCCCACAACACCATCACCGATGAATACTGATCCACAAGTAAATTCTAAATCATAAAATGTTGTGCCTATCACACCATCAATTGTGAATACTCCGTCTGACGATCTAGACATGCCTATAGCACTCAGGAAAGGTATAAGATCATGCACTCAACACCTGCTGTCTAATTATCTATCCTACAGTCATTTGTCCACTGCATTTCGTGCCATGATAGGAAAGATTAAGGTAACTAAAATCCCACAAGATATTCATGAAGCTCTAAAAATCCTAGAATGGGAAGCTGCTACATTGAAGAGATGAAAGCATTGAAAAGGAACGAGACTTGTGATGTTGTAGAGTTGCCTAGAGGAAAAACATTGGTTGAATGTAAGTGGGTGTTTACTATTAAGCATAATTCAAATGGTAGAATTGAGAGACACAAGGCCTGCTTTGTTGCGAAAAGATTTACTCAAACTTTTGGAGTACATTACACTCAAACCTTTGCTCCATTTGATAAATTGAATACTATAAGGGCACTACTTTCACTAGTTGTTAATCTTGACTGGCCATTACACCATATGGATGTCTAGAATGCCTTTCCTAATGGGGAGCTGGATGAATAAGTTTATATGGACCTGCCTCTTGGCTTTGAAGGGAGAAACAATGACAAGAAGGTATGCAAACTAAAGAAGTCTCTCTATGGTTTAAAATAGTGACCAAAGGCTTGGTTTGATCACTTTACAAATCAGTAAGGAGACACAGATTTAGCCAAGGACAAACTGATCATACTCCTTTTTTCAAACACTAACAACATGGAAAAAAGACTACTTTGATCGTTTATGTTGATGATATTGTTAAAATTAAAGCTTTAGAGAACAACTTGCTAATCCCTTGGATTAGCCTTTCATTATATAGACAATAATAAGGAAAGATAATCAATTACAAAGTACACATTAATGTTTCCAATAAATCCCTCCTAAACTATCTCCCATGAAATATTCCCATAATATTCCAACTCACACACACGCATACACTAATGCTCCCCTTCAAGCTGGAGCATATATATAAGTCATGCTCAGCTTTTACATATATAGTCAACTCAAAACTTCTAGAAGTGATTTCATAAGAATATCGGCAAGTTGTTCCCCTATGCGCACATGCTTCAATAATATTGTTCCACCCTGTAACTTTTCCCTAATGAAATGACAATCAACTTTTATATGCTTGGTTCTTTCACGAAATACTGGATTTAAAGCAATGTGAATCGCCACTTGATTATCACACCATAACTCTGCAAGAGTTCGAACTGAAAGCCCAATTTCATCTAAGAATTGAATCATCCATAATACCTCTGTTGTAGCCAAAGCCATCGCTCTATACTCTACTTCTACGCTAGACCTAGCAACTACTTGCTACTTTTTTCTCTTCCAAAACACCAAATTACTCCCAAGGAAGATAGCATAACCAGATGTAGACTTACTATCTATAGGAAAGCCTACTCAATCTGCATCTGCATAGGCTTGAATACACCCATCACTAGTAGAACTATAGAGTATTCTCTTTCCAAGAATTCTCAACAAATATCGGAGGATGGCATCACTGCTCTCCAGTGAGTATCTCTAAAAGCTCCCACGAATTGACTAACCACACTTACTAGAAAAGATATATTAGGTCTCGTCATGGTCAGGTAATTCAGTTTTCCCACTAGTCTCTTGTAAGGTGTGGGATCATCGAGTAAAGTGCCATCTTACGGAGAAAGCTTGATACCTGGATCCATCGGTGTGTCACTTGGCTTGGCATGAAACAAGCCTGCATCTTTAAAATATTCAGAACATACTTCCTTTAAGATAAAAAGATTCCCTTTTTACACCTTCCCACTTCAATACCAAGAAAATATTTCAATTGACCAAGATCCTTGGTCTCAAACTGGGACTTTAGATAAATCTTAAATCTGTCAATCGCTACATTATCACTGCCAGTGATGATTAAATATCAATCTACCTACACCCCACATATAAGGCCAGAAACTCTGCCGCATATAAAAATACTCGAATGATCCTTCCTCACTCTGTCGCATGCCCTACTGAACAATAGTTGCACTAAATTTGCTAAAACCACGTGCATGGAAACTGCTTAAAGACCATATAGAGACCTACGCAAAAGCACCCCTCCCCAGCCCCCCTCAGCAACAAACCCTGGAGGTTGCTCCATATATACCTCCTTAATCAGTCACCATGTAGGAAAGCATTCTTCTACATCCAACTGATGTAATGCCCACTTATGTCTAGGCAGTAAAATAGAGAAATAGGCGAAATAAATGTCATCTTTAGCCATTGGTGAAAGGTATCAAAATAATCCTACTCCATAACTGTCTGCACGTATGCCCTTTGCTAACTCGTCTTGCCCTCCAATCTAGCCATGAACCATCAAGATTCAATTTGTAGTGTAAACCCACTTGCACCCAACAGCTTGTTTCCCTTCTGGCAGGGAAACCAAGTCCCATGTATGGTTGGCCTAGGGCCATCATCTCATCCTCCATAGCCTTATGCCATCCTGAATTTGCAAAAGCATCACAAAGAGTACGCGGCACAGTGATAGCATCAATTGTGACAATACAAGTCTGAAGTTGAGCAAAAAGTCCTTTGTATGAGGGCATGTATAAAGGAAAATTTCTGCAAGTTCACGTACCTTTTCGTAGAGTAATCAGTACATCTTCAGCCACAATGTCTCAAGGTGGATCCATCGACAAAGAGATTGTCTTGATAAAGGAAGTTTTCATAGGTGGATCTACGTAAGTCCTTTTATACGTACAACCAAATCAAGTATTTGGGCATGCCTCAAAAGGAGATGCATTGACCGATGAACTATGTATTTGATAAATGAGAAAATCTTTTTCTTCTTATATGATAGGTGATGGATGAAACTATAGTATTGAAGGAAAAAGAACCGACTCATGAAACGCGACATCTGCTGAATAATAAAGCGACCCAGCTCTAAAGAGTAGCATCGATACCCTTTTTAGACATGTGAATAACCAAGGAAGATACATTTAAGAGAACATGGGTTTAATTTAGTGCAACTTGGATGAGTGTCACAAACAAAACATGTGCACCTAAACACCTAGAAGGAGATTGTAAATAAGGGACGATCAGGAAACAATACTTAAAGAGGAACTTTTCCTTTAAGAACCAAGGATGGCAAAAGATTTATAAGATAGAATGCTACAAGGACAGCTTCACTCCAGAACACCTTAAGGACCTTCATTTGAAACAAAAGAGCTCTAGCCACTTCCAACAAATGATGATTCTTCCTTTCAGCAACCCCATTTTGCTATGGCGTATTTGTACACAAGGACTGATGAACAATACCTTTTGCATTTAGGAATTGAACAACCTCTATAGAAAAATACTCTACCCCATTATCACTGCATAAAATTTTGGTAGACTTATTGAATTGATTCTCTATTTCAGCATGAAAGGTAGTGAAGACAAAGAATAATTCGGTGTGGCTCCGCAACAAATACAACCAGCAAACTCGTGAATAATCATCAACAAACGTCACAAAGTATCTATAACTAGATTCCGAAATAATAGGACAAGCCCCCCATACATTATAATGAATCGCATAAAGACCTTCAATCCGTCCCCTACTAATAGTTTGTTTCATCAACTAATCCTGAAAAACACAATAAGTAGGAAAGAAAGAGACACTACAATTCAAATTCCTTGTAATCTGACTAACTAAAAGTAAGTTAAAAGGAGAAGAAGGGACATGTAGCACAAAATGTAAAGGTAATGTGGATATTGGTTGAGTCTTGCCACTTCCCACAACATCTATAGAGTTTCCATCAACAACCAAAACAAACTATTTCCCTGTCATAGGAGTATATGAATAAAGAATACCTGTAGTACCCATCATGTGATCCGAAGCTCCTAAATCAATCACCCAAGTCCTAAAAGGGGTAGCCAAGCATGCAGTAGATTTACCTTGTATAAAAGTTATTGTCAGAGAGGAGATCGAAGTCTGATTCTGAAGCATCCGAATAAGCCTATCATACTCATCCTGGGATAACTGAACTCCCTTATTCTCTTACTACTGGGGCTAAAGCACAGCATCAGTCACATATGCCGGTGGTGGGCCAATATTGCCTCAAAGATGCGGACAAACATTCCATAAATGTCCCTGCTATCCCCATTGATAGCAAGACTGTGGGTCTCTTCTACCACTTCCATGTCCTCTACCTCTCCACACATCCTCTGTGTGATTCTCGGCCTTCACGCTATGGGGCCATAAGTACTACCCTATCTGCATGTGGAGGATTCATGTTGGTTGACCCTATTCAAGCACTTATAAGCATCAGTAGAGAAAGTGGGATCTCCGCCACTAATATCTGAGTACTAGCACCGGCGCACTCCTTCCTCAAACCTGCTAAGAAAAACATTATAGCTAGAGCCTCTTGTTGCTCCTGATTTGTTTCCAAATCGGTAAACAAGGGCATGAGTTCATTAAACTTGTCATATACCTCCTTAAACACACAAAATATTCCCTCAGGCTCTTACCGGATTGCTCCATTCTAGTCTATGCCCTAGTAACATCGAAAATCCTCTGCCAATTCTCAGAATTTATATAAACAATTTGTAAAGCATCCCAAAGTTCTTTCCTTGTGAAGTATTAATTGAACATCACCTTGACTCATCATTCCATCAAGTTGAACTATTGTCCAAGTACTCGATTGTCCTCATGCTCCCACACTGCATACTCCGAGCTTTCCTTTGTTGGCCGCTCACTTGTCAAAAGCCGAGCCTTTTCAAGACCTCGCAAGGTCACCAACACAGTCTCGTTCCATGATAAGTAGTTGGAGCCATTGAGTTTCTCATCCAACAACCATGAGCCCGTGATAATCTCCTAAGTTATCATATTCGATGTGGTTGCCTCTTCCTTAGCCATGGCTACAAAACCTTCTTCCTCCAAAATACAACTAGTAATCCTTCAATCAGGTAACACAATCCCAAATCAACAACCAAGAACTTCGTCCCTAGTTCTGCAACCACACTCTACACCGAAAACTTGTCCTCTCGATCTATCATTCACGAAGAGGTTGCAACCCCTTCTTGCTACCTTTGAGAATAAAGGGGTGGCCCCCCTTTTAACTAATGAAGGACTGTTGAAGAGAAAGGAAAAGTTTTAAGTACATTGCTTTAGGGCTGCGAGATCAAAGTCTGTAGTAACGACGGTTTAGTTGACGCCGCAAAGGCTATAGCAGATGAGTTTGGGGAAAGAGAGAGGTCCACAGCAGCTAGAATTGCACTGCTAGCTTTGATACCATGTTAAAATTAACGTTTTAGAGAACAATTTGCTAATCCCTTGGATTAGCCTTTCATTATATAGACAATAATAAGGAAAGAGAATCAATTACAAATTACACATTAATGCTCCCAATTAATCCCTCCTAAATTGTATCCCATGGAATATTCTTATAATATTTCAACTCACACACGCATACACTAACAGATATTATATTGATAGGTGATGACACTGAAGAAATAGAAAGGTGAAAGAAAACTCTTGGAAAAGAATTTGAGCTTAAAGATCTTGGACAACTAAAATACTTTTTAGGGATGAAAGTTGCAAGAAGTAAGAATAGCATTATTGTTTCCCAAAAGAAATATACGGTTGATCTCTTGAAGGAAACTGGTATGCTTGGCTATAAACCAATTGATAGACCTATAGATCCTAATGCGAAACTTGGAAAGAAAGGAGGAATTCCAGTAGATAAAGGGAGATATCAATGACTAGTTGGAAAGCAGTTCTACTTATCTCATACAAGACCTAATATTGCCTTTGTAGTTGGAGTAGTAAGTCAGTACATGCACTACCCATTTGAGGAGCATCTTGAAGTTGTGTATCGAATCTTAAGGTATTTGAAGGTCACACCTGGTAAGGGTTTGTTGTTTGAGAAGAATGAACAAAGAAATGTGATAGGGTTTATAGACGCAGATTGGGCAGGATCAATTGAAGACAAAATCCACCTCTGGGTATTGTACAAAGGTTTGGGGTAATCTTGTCACATGAAGGACCAAGAAACAATCTATTGTTGCTCAAAGTAGTGCAGAAGCAGAATTTAGAGCTCTTGCACAAGGAACTTGCAAACTTATCTAGCTGAAGAGACTTTTGGAAGAATAGAAAATGACAACTAAATACCCTATGAAACTGTATTGCAATAACAAGGCTGCTATAAATATTGCTCATAATCCAATGCATCATGATTGAACAAAGCATGTGGAAGTTGATAGACATTTTATCAAAGAGAAGATTGATATGGGAGTGATCTATATGACCTATGTTCCTACAAAGGAACAAGTAGCAGATATCCTAACAAAGTGACTATATAAACCAAGCTTTGAGACTCTTGTTGACAAGCTGAGAATGAGAAATATGTATTCTCCAGCTTTAGGGGAAGTGTTGATAGATTATGTATCTAATCAGGATCAATTTCCCAATTTGTTGGGATATATATTTTTGGTCTTTTATTTCTTTCTATATTTGGATGATTATGTCCTGATTATGTCCTAATTTTGTGGGTTTCTTTGTACATATCGATTCCTCTATATATTTGGGGATTCCCTTTTAATAAAATAAAACTCAGAGAACATTGTTTTTATCTCTGTTTTTCAACTACAAATAGTCGTCCATTACCCTAACCTCTATTCTATCAGCAGTTACAAATTTGGCAGATCAAGGCAACTAGACAGTTTGAACTGAAGAAGAGAATAGAGAGAAAGGATAACACCCAAGTCAAAATGCTTAAGGCCAGTGTTTCACACATTAGGTCATAAATTGATAATGCTACACTTCGTGCTTACATTTAATCACCATGAAAGAATAAGCCAGTGTCTAGGAAAATATCATGGCAATTAATTTATGAAAGAAAAGCAAATAAATATGAACAAGCAACCAAAACCAAAACTGCATAGGAACAACGAGTACCTCAACATATAACTTTCGGATTTGTGGACCTTTGTCTTCATCCATCCCCTAGAACCATTAATAGTGTAAAGAACTTAGTAAGTTAATAAAGCTATTTATAATACAGAGAACAAGAATAGTTAGTTGATAAAAGCACCTGGACATATAAGTCATAAAGATCACAGATTTTATCTTCCATGGCGTTATCTATGATGTATTGTTCTTTAAGGACTAGTTGTTCTTCAGAACCAAGCACTTCCTGTAAATCATCAGTTGCTACATCCCTTCGTTTAGATGCCTGGAAAGTTATGCATGTTCATAAGCAAAGAACTAAAACATGTTATCATCATTTGCCACTGAATTTGCACATATACCAAATAATATATTGCAGCATAAGAATGCCTTTCATAACATAAGATAAAAATTCGCAGCCATAAATGTTTGTATCACATTATTCTCACAGCACTAAATGAAGATCAAAGTTTGTCTATATTTTGCCACAAGTGCTGCCTCTTCTGAGAAAAAAAGTTGTATGATGCTGGTGATCAAAGTGATGATAACCATATCAGTCATTATAATACTGAGTATCAATGATGATAGCAAAAGGGTGTAAAATTATTGAAACACCAATATAGAACCAAGGCATCAAAGAGAGGACTGCTTCTTGTGAGAAAGAAACTAAGAACCTACGACCTCAAAGCATCTAAAAACTATTTGGAAATTGCTCAAAGTGATTTTTGAGGAAACCTGCAATTTGATCATTTCAGTGACCTCCATTTTAATCTTTTGAAATCTATCAGCTTTTTCCCGCTTCGCAGAGAGTCCCAGTAAAACCATCTCTCTTAAGTTCCTCTGTATCCAAACAATCAATTGCAGCAAGGGTAAAGAAGAAGGTTAGTATCTAAGAACATAATTAAAAACATAAAGAGCTTAAAAAGTTAGTTAGGAAAATGCAACCATCTTAATTATCAGAAGGAGAGAGAGAGAGAGAATGCAACTATCCAGAAAACTTGAAATCAATCACCGGTTAGACTACTTAAACTAGAAATTAAGCCAATGAAGCATTGTCTTGATGGCAAGCAGTAGACCTTGGAACTTTTAGGTCCCATGTTCAAGTCTCAGCCTTTGTAGGTTTAATTAGTTTGTTTATCAATGTCTTATTGGATAAAATGTCTTATTGGATGCTAATTTCTACTTGTACAAGTAATCTAATTAAAATGACACTTGAAATTCAGAAGTTATGCTAATTTCATTTATCCTTGACCAAAATCAGAATAATTTCCAAATTATAGTATGTCAAAGGAATTAACGTATTGGCAAGGCATAGAACAGAATTAAAAAAGAATTACCCATATCACATAAGCTTAAATGCTATTGATTCAAAATTTCTTTGCAAAAAGGTTCTCATATTTATGATAACTTCATATATTGGAGTCCATAATAAATGCATAATTTATCAATATTTTATATTAAAAATAACACTTCTATTCTATGGAACATTTCAATATCTGTCCCAAAAATATCATATTCTACACTAATCTCAATCTTTTCTTACTATTATTATCATAACTACTACCATTCCTACTAACAGTACTATTCTTTTTTTCACTTAATTAAGCATAATCAAGGGCACAAGGCACACAAAAAGTGCTAAGGCCATTGTATTCTGTTATGGCAAAATATGCAAAAAAAAAAAAGTGCTCACCCTAGGGAAGCAAAGCAAAAATTCTTAAAAGATTAATAAATGGCCATAAAAACAAACTTATATTTATTATACCTAAAAACTTGCATTATACAATTTCTTTAATCAGCAAAAAAGTGCTGACACCATTCTGTTTCTTAATGTGCCATAAATATCAAACATTAGTAAAAGTCATCATAAAACTCTAGCTGTAAGTTCTCTCACTTCCATCACCAGCAAGAATTTATACATGGACGATATTATACTTTCCCTGTACTTGAAAAAGACACGCTCATGTATCATATTTCTTTGTTGAAGAAACACCATTGAAGAAAACATAAGAGAAGCTAAGACACAGGAATAAGAATACAAGGTATGGGTACTGACATGATGACATAGCCATTTTCAAAATTTTAAGATACAATAACAAAATATGATATATGCATATATAACAAACACACTGAACCTTTTCCAACTATTACAGGGATCACCTACATGGATATTATTCCATATTTAAAATCATATGCTCAATCAACTTAGTAAAAATGAGCCTTTTCTTTCTTTATGATATTCATCCATCTCCTATGAAGCACGAGCACACCTTGCACCCTGTGTGTCCATGTTGGACACTGTCCAAACACAAACACTCTTCCGACATGGAGGCAATGTGTTTACACATAGATAACGTAAAATGGCATGAATCAAGGCCAAAGCCCTGTAAGATTGAACATTATAAACATTTTTCCCCTTTTCTTTTATCTCTGTTATAGGATATTTCCTTCAATTCACCATCACATTTTTCCAAGATGCAACCCAAACTAGAAATAGATGTAAGTGAGAGGGAGCAGTGTCCATTCTTCATAGAAAAGAACTCAAATAATGCATTCTTTTTCTGTGCCTTTTGCATTTCAAGGCAAAAACTTACTGACGAAAAGCAAGCTGCCTCAATAAAGACCCCTAGAGAGGTTTAAGTTATTTTTCCTAGATTGCACTACACCTTGGCACCTAGGCACAGGGCTTGACTTCACAGCTAAATTGAAATTATTTGCTCAAATTAAAATTATTTGCTCATATACAATAATGTGACACAATAAGAAAATTCGGGAAAAATATATACTAGTAAATAATAAAGCATGTACACAAACACATAGATAGAAATACATTTATATAGAAAATAGGTATATAATCCATCAAAATATATATATATATATATACTTACATTCAATCATTGTGGCCGTAGTTGCGTTTTTGGTTGCATCGCATTTATCGCGATTGAGGATGAAACAGATGCTATCACAATCATTGTGCTCATCGCGATTGTGAACTTTTTTCAGTTTTGCACAACTTATCGTAAAGCATAGTAATCATAATTATAATAATAAAAACTCATTTTTAACGATTTTTAAAGTAATTTATAACACTCTTATGATCTTTTATTTATATGAAAAAAAATATTATTCACAATTTTTTATATTATGTTAAAACATTTGTAGTTAGAAAAACACTAATTCTTATATCTATAAATTTCTACAAATACAATTATTAAAAATTAACAAGGTAAAACATGTTAAATGTGCTTATGTCTATGAATTGTTGCAATTCACAATGTTACTCATTAAAGATGGCTAATGTTCAACTTTTGGATTAATGAACTTTTTTAAAGAGTATGAATCTATATAAATATAAATTTTTACTTATTAACAATTTAAAGACTATAATTCTTAATTTATATAATTTATTTTACCATATTTGTATATATAGAGTGATTAATTTTGCAAGCTTTTTCTAGATTGTCATTGCCAAAATATAAGGTAATAGGCCTCTTTGAATGGAAAATATCCATTTGCATTAATTAGAAATTGCAAATATAAGACAATGGGCCACTCAAATTTTCATTAGATTGTTTTCCTCAAATTTCACCACCTCAATCTCCCTCTTATTTTCATCAATTTTTTCTTTTCTGCTTAGAATTCCTCTTTTCTATCTTCTCCCTACCACCTTTCCCCTTTTCTCTCCCACTTCTATTTCCACTTCTTTCTTCTCCATATTCTACCATTCTACCATTCTACCATTCTACCAGCCACCAAGAACCAACAACCACCACCCTCTTCTCATCCTGGCGGCACTAATGGCCACCATCTCACAACAGCAGCCACCACCTCCTTCTCTCTTCTCCGCTTGGTGTCAGATTTCCAACCACCACAAGCATGTTGGAAGTCCAAGGCTATATCACACTGCTAAAGCCGAATTAGCTCAGGTTAGATTATTTGTCAAAGTTACTTACCTTCAATTATTTGTTCTTGATCTTTATTGAGTTTGTTTGAAGCTAATTTTGAGTGAATAATGTAGGTCTAGGGTCCTTTCTCCGTTTTGGGTTTTTTGCTGTTGATTTAGACAAAATGATTTTTTTTATTGTTCTTGTACAATATTTCTGGACGGAAAATGGATTAATGCCAATAACAGACTATTATTTCCGCCATTACACCATTTTTCACATTGTGATTGTGCCACTACAGACATGAATAAAATTCATAGCCATTTTTTATGGAATAGCAGCGGCAAAGGGTGGCGCCACCGCAAAATAGCAGCCACTACACTGCTATCATACCATTATTTAAAACCCCGCTCAAGGCATTTCACTCTGATTAAATTTTACTTTCCTTGATGTTATGCACTACGCTAATAAGGTTTTACTTTCTGCAATTTGACTTACCAGGCTCTAGTGCACTAATTCCAGACCTACGTGACTGAGTGCATACCTTCAGTGTTCTCAACTGCACCGAATGCCCAAGAATATTCATAAGCCTATTGATTAACTCCTCTGATATTTTCCCTTGGCTTGACTGCTGAAATTACCATAGAAATGGTTTAGAAACTAACCATAACTTTTAACTGAAATTGAAACCCCTCCCCCCCACCACCAAAATAAAAAAAAACACAAAGCTACTGAAATAACAGAACAGGCAATTTTTTTTTCTTACTGCTAATCTGGCAACTTTAGCAAGCTTCAGCTTCACTTCACGAGGCAGCCTTCTTTTAAGAGCTGCAGATGAAGCATCTACATCCTGAACTTCCATGGTTGCCGGTCTCACTGTCATGAATATTGAGCAGACACCAGCTAGTTACATAGAATATATCTTAAACTTCTTCATAAAGTAAGAAATTAAACAACCTAAGCTAACCACATAACTCACATTCTGCAACAACTTTCTCCAACTCTCTTATGGCCCTTTCAAGCATTGTTCCTTTTGGCCTCAAATTAGAAACATCCTTTGACTGCACAAAGGGACTTTTCTGGCAATTTTGAATATAAGATCACCTTAATTAGTCTAAGCACATGCAAATCATTATGCAACCATGAAAGAGATGAAAAACACATTTACAAGGATAAGATATCAAATGTACCAGCCTTTATACCTTAGAAAGATAACAGCGAAGGGGAGCTTAGCTGGCACAGGGCCCCCAATTAATGTTTAGAAGTTAGTTTATAGGCATTGTTTCTCACCTCAATTAAAAAATTAAAAAAAAAATTTGGCCCCTAAAAGAGTTTACAATGTGGTCCCCCTTCTAGCGTACAAGCCTAGTACTATGTGGTTAACAATTTTTAAACTCAAAAGTCTTCTATCCATGGGTTCTACCAATTTGCAACAATTTTAATCAAAATATTATTAGTTTGCTTGTGTTGGACTCTTTTCCCGCAACAGTTCATACACACTAACATTAGGCTCCTTAATTAAAGAGCTAGTACTTAGATGTCCTGTTACAAAAACAATTAAAATAACTAAAGAAACTGTGAACCACACAGCAGCCAAGAACTTGATACAGATCAATTGCTCCAACTTCTAAAGCTTACCATTTTCTCCATCAGTAATTAAAAGAAAGAAGAAAGAGATCAATTGTGTATAAGTAATTTTCCGGTCATTATTACCTTTTTATTTCTTTTCCATAAGCCATGTAACTTATGTCATCACATTTACTTTAGTCACACATAAGAAATATCCCATCGCATGGATATTTCCAATCTGCTAGCAAAACAAAAGGAGGTATACCAGAACATATGATCTGATTAGAGGTATGCCCCAAAAGTTGAGGATACAATTTTGATTGTTTGCATTTATCATCAGGTCTAACTTTAAGATCATAAAGAAAAGGCAATAAATTATCTATATTTTTAAGAGTGTAAGTTAATCTACTCAGACTTGACTTGCTAGTTGCTCATAGTCAACTGAACTGCTATTGAGTCAACTGAACTGCTATTGAGTCCCATTAATTTAGAGCTTGCTAAAACTTGGTTTGAGCAGCTAGCAAGCCCACTCAAGTAGCTGACTTTCACTAATTTATTTTGCACTCAATCTATAATTTTACGTATAGGGATTTTAGTCCAAAAACTTGAAACTTGTGATTAACCTTGATCCAGCTAAATTTTCAGTCAATATTCATTTAGTCAAGGTGAGATCAAGTATCTCCTCCAGTCAAGTAAGATTATAGAAAATGGAACTCAATCAAGTCAAGTTTTGACCACCAACTCACTATGTCAAGTTGATCAATCAAGATTACCCCCCACAATGCAGTACTGCTGGCAAATTCAAATTTATTAAGCAACAGATAAGGACTAAGGAGCTTAGAATGTTCTTAATTATTGGCAAGATTTGAACACCAGTATTTCCAGTAGTTGCATCAACACTAAAGCAAATGCCAAAGTCATCCAGTATTACAGATTATGGTAGGATAAATATACATGCATCATTAGAGGAAGTAGCTCAGCTAATCATAGAATGAGATTAAAGAATTTTAAACTAGAAATATAGCTAATTATAATATTTTAATTTCAAATTGTAAATAGGAATCAGTTATATCAAAGACAGAGGCACTTCACACATGGAAATGGCCTCAACATTGAATTACTTGAGACCACTTATTGTGACAATTGACAAAATAAGATCAAGTCTACACATTCTTCTTGAAATTTGGAGATACAATTGCTTACCTCTGGTTGCGCTGGATAAACAGGAAGATTAAGATCTGGCAGTTCACCACATGTTGCCCTTTTCTCCCTCTGCTCTATTTTGGTGGAAATTCCTTCTTTATCATTATCAGTCATCAATTTTCTCACTGGAGACTCAAGTTGTTTACAAGAATTTTTTTCCAGATACTTCTGATGGGTTGCTAGAGAGTTTGCATTATTTCCTATATCACTAGAGTGGATGGTTGCACTCCTATACTTATCAGCATCCTTTGAATTTAGTGGAGATATAGAAGCATCATTATTTGAGATTGCTGTGTATGAAGAATGCTCACACTTAGTTCCAATGGTAGCAGGCTTCTTAAAAGAAGATCTTACAGGAGAACTCAACAGGTTATGCAATTTCTGATCATGTTCATTAATAACAGCTGAGTTCTGCAAGAGAGCAGAAGATTGTTCTTCAAGCAGAGCATTTGTTGCAGCAAAATTTAGCCTCCCCTGTTCAACTTTCATATGTTTACTGGGTAAGTGATCATCAACTTTCTCTCCTTGAGCTTCGGCCATATTTTTACTCCGTTTTCTTGATTGTTGAGCTACTGACAATACAGGTTCATTTCTGGACCAAAACAATATATCATTAAAAAGGAGTCAAATTGACAATCAACCTAACTAATTATTTTCTCAAACAAAAAGTACAACATGAATAACTATTAAAATCGGCAATTAAAAAAAATTAAGACTCACAAATCAGTGATTATATTCTCAAAGTAATAGCTCATGTTGAAAAAACTAAAGTTATGCTTTTAATAGCTCATGGTTTAATTGAAAACAATAAAGATAAAACATTACTCCTAAAAAGAAAAAAGTTAATTGTACAAGAGCTAAGCAACAAGTGTTGTTACAGCTTTCCCAGCTTAAGTATTAAATTCTCTTTTTAAGTAACTATAATGAACAAAGTGTTGGAGAAGGAAGGTTCAAGTTCCACTTGCAATACTCTCCCACAATGTCCTACAACACTACAAGTTTTTGAAGTAATTGCTAACAAGATATTCATTTGCAACAATTACATTTTATATATGACATCTCCCTCAAATTCAGTACCACTGGGCATGTGAGTGAATTCCATCTTCCTTTAGGATCTTTATTGTCAGTTTTCACCTAGCTCCATGAAGTGCCAAGGCACCTTCCTATGCCATTGCCTTTGCTCATAGTTTTGAAGTCTGGACATTTAAATTATGACATAAAAGCACCCATATTGAAGAAAACAGCACAGAGAGTTTGGAATTTCATGCTTCTAATCAACCCACCAAAATGAAGAATTTGACTTAAAAGTCAATCTCAAAATAGAACCAACCTGCAAGCCCACGAAATCCAAGTCACATATACTTGGAAAGCTTGATAAGTCTAGTTTCTAAATCATCAAACCATTCATGAATTGGAATTTCCTACGAGTTACAAGTTTGACCAAAATGCGCTGCTAAAGGCAGAATCCAGCATTTTAGGTGTCTCTTTCCATTTCAATGACTAGAACAAGTTCTACTTGTATATTTTTTAAAAGTTTAATTTTGATCGTCACCTATTCCTGAAGGGTTGTTGCATGGCTGGTAATTATTTTCCATTCATTGTATTGAAAATTCAGACTTGAGTATGAGTAAAATTCAAAGCTTTGTGCTTTTAAGAAGAAATTATCCTCTTAACTTTGAACTCTTTTGTGTGAATTCCTTATAGTGGTGAGTTTGTTTGCTTTCCATATCTAGGACGGGCTAATCCCGTGAGCTGTATGATTTCTTTTGTTTCCTCTGCAACCCGGTATGAAAATTTGCAGGGCCACCATCAGGGTAATTCATCACTCTCCTCATCAGGTACTTTCATCAGTGTCTGTTTTATGATTCCCATCTTCAACCTTCTTTTGGTTTAATTATTTTTCCACGTTCAGGTTCCACTAGCACTTAAAGAAGGTTCTATGCCTAGTTAGATTAGAACCAAAGAGTTTTTTGAAGCAAAAGGGTATCAAAAAGTAGATAAAATTTGGGTTACCAAAAATTAAATTCAGCTATCAATCACTACTCCTCCTGATATTCCTAGGTAGTGTTGCAGCAAAAAGCCAAATAAAAATTTATAATACTTCAATTATAAAAAGGGATAGCTCATATAACTTGTTTTAATTGCATGTGCAACACGCACATGAACCGTATCTTAATTACTTAAGTGAGAACCATACAGTTTATAAGTTATTTTTTTGGAAGAATTGACCACTAAACTAGTAAAATGCAGATTCCATTATTTATGTACTCTACCAATTGTTTTCAACTGAAGTTTTCTTATTAATATTTTTTGGTCGATTTTTTAAAATAATTATTTTTTAACCCCAAGTATTCTACTAATTTTAGGATTTATCACTTTATTACAGGTTCATAGTTGTTTAACCACAACAGAGTTCAACATAATACTATATATTCTTAGATACTCATCCCTTTTTAAGTGTTGACCTTGCTATACTACAATAAAATAAGAATTCTTCACCTTCAAGATCTTGCTTTCTTTTTGCTACCATTCTCATAGGCTGCTTTAGTTTATTGAAATAAGAATTCTCTTATTTTCCCAATCATCAAGCACAACTTTTTCTTGGACTCATTTCTCTTTTTTTTTTCCTTCTCGTAGATTGCTTTCTTGTACTGAAATAAGTCTATCAATCATAAAACACTGTTTTTTGAGATTATAAAAACTACTTTTAATAACTATAATTTTATAAAACAGTTTAAATGGTATAATTATAAATTAATGAAAAGAGGAAGTGTAATATAGTCATCACAAAAGTTTTATACCCCTCAAGCCACATTTATATATGGTATAGATTTTGCAGATGCAAACAGATGGATGCAAAAACCTATTGAAGCTCATAATTTTATTCCACAAGCAAACCAAGAGAGTTTTGCCATCTCTCTGCCAGAATACTAGGCAACACAAATAAAAGAATCCTCAATGCTGGTTGTTTGCATTTTACAACTCATAAAGCCCTGCTTACATGGCAGACAGCCCTCGAACCTTCCCACAGATATGAAACTCCAAAGAATCATAGTACAAATTACATATTTCCCAAAAATTTTGTAAAAAATTGGATATTTGCCACAATCAACACAGTGAAAATAAAAATAAAAACAGAAAATCATTCTTTTAACTCCATCTACATGAGATTTTGATATGTTGCGTAAGAACTTATGCTTAGTTTAGACTTTTATTGGAGCATATTCTTGTTAACATTGTTAAATGTTAAATAAAATAAGGAAGAAAACAATTACTACAAACACCAAATATATCTTTCAATGACTAAGCATGCTACTAACATTAACATTCATTTTTTCTTGACATTACATCCCATAAAATTTGAATAGTGGAAACCAAAAGACATGGCTTCTTAATTATGGCTAAGGAAACCAACAATTACTAATTATTCTCTTTTAAAGATTTTGGACTGATTAATAAAAAAATTTTCATAATTGATATATCATTTATCAATTATACTTTAGATTAAAAACTCCAAAAAAAGCTATCGTTTTCCTGGATCGTCCCAACAGCCAAGACATGAAAAGCATATAAAGAAGAATGATTTAAATAGTGAAAAAAAAAAAAAAAAAAAAAAAAACTCACATGCATTCCAATTTCTCAGAGTTTACAAGTAATCCATTTTGCTTAATTGTTGACTTGTCATCTTGAAAACATTCATCCTGCAGAACAATGGACAAATGAACGTCTTTAGCGATCAATTAACTACTTTTGGTATCTTAAGAATAGATGAAAACCACCAGCAATGCAATGAAAAAAGTACTATTGAAAAGCCACAATCGAAATATGCTAGCAAAAGCACAAACAAAAAGATCTGCCAATTGAATCATAACAGTTTGACCTGCAAATGAGCTATTAATTCTTGGTAAAAAGGCAAGGCCCAAAATTCTAGGGAGCATTTCATCTACAATTTTTTTTATTACAATCCTACAATTGTCCAATCACAATAAAAAATTATGTAGGGTCCACCACTTATAACTGTAGACTCCACATAAAATTTTGATGGATCCCACACTATTATGAATTATGATTAATTATATTACAATGACTATAGATGATATGCTCCCCAAAATCCAACTTGAAAAATGATTACCAAAAATAAAGGTACTTGACTTTTATAAGATTACTACTTTACCCTCAATAATAACTTTATTTTGTCTTTTAGTTGTAATTTATAAAACATCAAGGGATATAAAAGAAAACTTAACAATAAACTCATTTCTATTTGAAGGATAAAAAAATTGGGACTTCCAAAAAAGAAAAGAACAACAAAAGAAACGAGAGAGTTTTGACCTATTATAATTCCTTTACATATCATTTCAACAAAGAAATCTTGTATGTATAGCTGATTGTATCAACAATCTCAAATATTTTGGGCAAGTACCTAGCACTATGGGGTCCAAAAAATGGCAAATACTTCACCCAAAATGCTGCTTCAAACAAATCGATGAAACTTTAAATTATATGAAAGTGGTGGATAAGGCAAATCACCCTCTATAGCTCTTCATCTATGAATGGTAGACATTGAAATCGGACTTCAATGTCAGTTTTTTTCCCATAATTTGTCTAAACACTGAACACCCTCATGCACACATGTGCTCGCACAAACAAAAGAACCAATTGCCTTAATTCCTCAGCAAATGGAGTCATGATTAAAAAAAGTGTAAAAAGGAGATTTAAAATTTTCACTCTTTTAAGAGACTATATTTGGAAAGTAAATCAATAGTAACAGAACCAGTCAAGGATAACAAATTCATTAAAATAACTAATAAAACAATAAAGTAAGAGATAACAGCCAAATTTGTAAGATCTGCTGAATTTGCAATTTTAAACTAATGTCCATTATATTACAAGCTCAAAAAAGGAATTAGATCCCCAATATATCCTTAAAGAATATTAATGCTTCATTTGGAACAATTCTTCAATGCCTTAACAACAGCCAATTTACTACTTACAACCAACAAAGAAAAGCAAAGCTCGTAAGTCAAAATAGAAGGAAAAAAAAAAAAAGAAGACCTGACTGGCTTAACGTCCTTTCAACATCCTTTTCTTAAATAAGCACCCTTTTGATTGGCCAACAAGCAGAAATACAGCAAAAACAAGCATAAGAGACAATCTTCAATGCATGCACACATACATATATACATATAGACAGAAATATATATATATAAAAGAAACTGCAGACACGCTTAAGCCTCAAAGGCAGTAAAAGTAAAAAATGAGGAGCAGAGGCTATTAGCGCCTTACAACATCATTCTCACATGAGCAAATTTTGAGAACTCATTGGGAAGTATATTCAAGCCCACAGCTGCCAATTATTTATTAAAAATAAGTATTGTTCTAACTTAGAAGGCTTCATATCTCTACCTTTTTGCATATTGTACAAGGTGTAATAAAGTTGAAGTTAGCCTGTTACTGTGGGAAAACACTTATTTACAGCTGGTTGTAATCTTGTAATCTGTATATTTATATTTGTATCTCTAGAATTAAGTATTTGTATCCCTAAAATTATGATAGACAATCTCTCAATTATAGGATTAGTTTTTTAGGAAGATTTAATTTCCTAGTTTAACCCCTAGTTAGTTATATATAAACCTAAGATTCTTGTATAATTCTCAATAAGCAGTTTTCCAACATACATTCAGTTTTCACACTGATTTATTTCTTAGTTTTTCCACAAAGGTATCAGAGCTTTAGGTTCTTCTTGGGAAGCAAAATTTTCAGCCTTCATTGCCGACTTTTTTAGGCCTTCATTGCCGAATCCTGTTTAGGCCTTCATTGCCAAACACTTTCAAAGAAAAATATCACTACCACCCAATTTGAGAAAATGTTAACTGAAAAAATCACTGGAATACTACAAATGTCTCAGAAACAAAGAGAGTTCGACAGGGAAGAGATTAAAAAGCTAAGAAACTTATTGAAAATCCTTGAAAAGCCTACTGTGATATGTTCTTTGGGTAAGGTTTCTAGTTCAGGTAAAGCTTTTCGGTTCTCATGAATTAAATGTCTCGACTAAGCCTATTACGAGCTCTTGGGTCATTGACTCAGAAGCCACAGACCACATGACACATTCGTCACAAAAGTTTAGTACATATAACATGTGTCCTAGTAATAAGAAAATTGTTGTTGCAGATGGTTCACTTACCATAGTGGCAGGATTAGGAGATGTTCAAGTTAATCCCTCGTTTGTTCTCAAAAATGTTCTTCATGTTCCTGGATTGTCTACTAATCTGATATCTATACAAAAACTTACCAGAGATATGAATTGCAAAGTAACTTTTTATCCCTCTTATTGTGAATTTCAGAACCAGAGTTCGGGGAAGATGATTGGACTTGCTAAGGAGAAGGATGGACTATATTATCTTGAGACATCAGATAACACAAGTAGTATCAAGAATAGTTTACCTTTGTCATTTCTTTCTGAAAAATCTTCCAATAAAGACAAAATCTAGCTTATCATT